AAGAAACATAACAAATTCAAGCCTGACTTGAGCAATCATTTGGATCCAAGTCGTGAAAGTTCCCTGCATATTTCTTTTTCAAATTCTGCCAAAAGGAAACTGCGGGACAAGAAAATCTTGGATGAAGAATCACAGGTGATAGATGGTCAGCCAAAGAAGAGGAAGCGAATTCGACTAGATCCACATGATATCTCAAATAAACGATTTGATGATACCATTGTTATTAACGGTCAGTTTTTATCAATTACTTCTGTTTAGTCAAATGTACGTGTTGTCTTTTGTTGGTCCCATGAGTTTGTATTCTCCATCTTTAATAAGGATGTAGATGCTGTCTTTTGTGATATAAATCTCTCTTTGAGATAGTTGGAATTTGCAATGCAATTTTTCAACCAAATGTAGAAGTTTTGCATTTTTCTTACACCTTGTGTTTTTCATTTTTCCCAGAAAGCACAAAGGAGAAGGAAAAAGATGAGGAGGAAAAGGCTGAAATCTCAAAAAATGCACAATTTCGTGCAATACAACCAAGCCCCTCAATCCTCAAATATGTGGAAGATAATGTAATTTGTATGCACTGGTCTTTTGATTTTGGGATATATGATTGTCAATTGTAGGTTTCTATATATGCAGATCTTCAAATGTTTTGGGTATATCTATTTTCTAGTTGTTCAATTCTTGGAATATGACTCTTGTTTATCATTTATTTGCAGTTGTTGGGTCGTAGACGCATGATAGAGCTGAGGAGGGCAGGATACAACACTGAGCTTTCTGCCCCATTGGATAATATTCCTTCCTCTACCAGCTCAGAAAGAGAGAGTATTGAGGAAAATGTATGTGTATACATGTCGAGATAAGTATCTTTGTGTTTCTAATAATTAATTTTTTTTTTTCGATGTCAATTATATTTTCAGAATAAGCTTAATTTAATCTAGTGTGAGGGCGGACCTCTCTTACTGTTTTATACGAAATCACATTAGTATTGACATTAACTACCTTTTACAGATATTTAAGAATAAATTGACATTTTTTGCTGCTGCAAAAGTTTCATCATCATTTCCACCTCCTGACCTTCCAGAGATTGCATTTGCAGGTGTGTTTAGTTTCTTTTATTTCATTGATGCAATCCAATTGATTTTTTTTTAATTCCCTTTTTGAGTACTCTACTTCTGATGTGATTTATGAGTTCATAATATTAAGTGTGTTCAGAAAGTTTACTGTTTAAATTTGCAGATGGAATCTTCTTACATGAGACAATAAGTAATGTTGTTGACTTCTATTGCCTTTTCAGGAAGGTCAAATGTTGGGAAATCATCACTACTTAATGCACTTACCAGACAATGGGGTGTTGTACGAACATCAGACAAGCCTGGTCTCACTCAGGTTATAAAATAGCCTTTGTTGCTTTCTTTGATTTCAGTAGCTGTTCAGTTTGCTGATGACAACTTTGCTTCTTTGCAGACTATTAATTTCTTCAATCTAGGATCAAAGCTCTCCTTGGTTGATTTGCCTGGATATGGTTTTGCTTATGCTAAAGAAGAAGTTAAGGATGCTTGGGTGGAGCTTGTGAGTATACAACTTTAAGTTCTCCTCTGTTTTCTGGAGTGGAAATTAGTTAATTTATCAGATTTTTAGCAAATCACTGGTGTTTCTTTTCCTGTAAGTTTTGTTAAATATGCCGATATAACTGCTTTCTTTGGCACTTCTAATAGGTAAAGGAGTATGTTTCCACAAGAGTTGGTCTAAAACGAGTGTGTTTACTTATTGATACAAAATGGGGAATGAAGCCAAGGGATCATGAACTCATTGACTTGATGGAAAGGTACCAGTAGACACTTTTGTAAAACTACTATTTGGTTGCACAGTTTATGTGGTAGAAGATACTACAGACCTCTTTATTATCTTCATGTTGTATATTTGAGCGCGCACACACACACACGCACTTTTGTAAATGTGCATACTGGAACCATATGGCTTGTGCCTACGTTTTATGATGTTCATTGCTTGATTTACAGAGCTCAGACTAAATATCAGATTTTATTAACGAAGACAGATACGGTTTTCCCGATTGATGTGGCACGTCGTGCAATGCAAATAGAAGAGGTGAATGTGGCTTATTTATACTGCTAATAGATACATAAAAGTAGCATTTTCTTTAGCGAGACTAACCATTTTAATACAACATATTTGATTTTGCAGAGCCTGAAAGCAAATAAGTCGTTGGTCCAACCTGCGGTATGGAATATACTTTTATTTGATCAGTTGATAGGCCAAAGCACACACTTTATCTGCATCATTGTTGAAAATGACGCAATCACTTCAAATGTGGTTCTTATTTCAGGTGATGGTGAGCTCGAAATCTGGAGCTGGCATACGAAGTTTAAGAACAGTGCTAGCAAAGATTGCTCGAGTGGCCAAAGTCTAATATGTAGTCGGGTGAATTTTTCTTCTTGGAATTTGTTTCCAGAACCTTTTGTTTTGTCATACCCATAACTCTTAATGCAAGGTGCATTTAAATTCTTTTTCCTTTTTCTATGTGAATCAATCTGTAATAGGTGGTTATGTATCTGCAGGCTGTGGCATACTTCTAGTAGATTGTTTTTGCTTGGCAAATGGCCTGCTCATCTGCAAGCTGAAAGTCTCAAATTCTTAGAGATGCCTTTGGTGCAGATTTGTTCGCCTGCACAGATTGACCAGGACTCAGTGCTAATATCATTTGGCAATTTAGCCTGCCTGTCTCGGTTGGCAGGATGATAATGGTTGAAAGTTGACAAGTGAAATGTAATTGATTTTGTAAATTCTAGTTTATTTCTTTTTTAAAAATTTAAATTGAAGGTCCTGTGGATTATAGGACCATTTCATCACAAACTTTTTTTTTTATGATAGTGATAAAGGCCTTTTTTTAAAATAGAAATTGACCTGTTCATTCTGAGTAGAAACCAAACTAACTGCATGGAGATATTCTGAAGAATATTTCAATGGCTATTGCAGGGACCACTAATTTGAGTACGTTTTCTGCGATGGCTATCTTTATTTATTTATTTTTAAAAAAATTAATTTTTTTGTTAAATAAGATTCATGAGACTGATAAAAGAGTTTTAGGTTGATTGGAGTAAACCCAATTAGGATTAACCATGAAATTGATCTGCTGACATCTTGGTCTCACATTGATGAAAATTCATTCGTTCATAAAATTGAAAGAAAAAGACTATCTTCGGTCCAGAGAATCTGAATGATGGTGGGGTACCAATACACATCCACCATGGTGGACTTTCTATTGTATAGTGTTATCCGTGGGATAATGTATACTGAATAAATAAATAAAAATAAAAAGCCTTCACACCATTTGTTTAACAATCGCAGCCTAAGAGCAAGGGGAGCCCTAGGGCGGCTACTATTTACGTGAATAGTGGCTGCCCTACTCCCCCCCAACAAAGTGTGTTTCCAGCAGTTTTAGGCTTGCCATGACAAATATTATTTATTTTTTTGTTTTTTTCACAACTTTGTTTACTTAAACATTTGATTTGGATAATATTTTCGGATAAGATTTTTGGGTTCCTACGTGTCAATACTATTCATATCGGATAAGATTTTTGGTTTCAAATTTCATATAAATTTCAAATTTCAAATTTCAGATAAATCAATACAACTAATAAAATAAAATACATGAATGACCACTAATTATTAAAACAAAACAAAAAAATACAATGAAATAAAAGGCAAGCAAACTAAGAAATGAAAGGCAAGATTTTATTTTATCGGATAAGATTTTCGGATATGATTTTATTTTATTAGTTGTATTGGTTGGTATTTATAGAAGAAAAAAAAAGTATGAGGATTTGGTGTTAAAAGTGTTAAAAGCGGAGGTGCAATATTGACTAAGTATGAAAAATGGTTTTTCGGAATAATAATTTTCTCAAGATAATTTTTGGCGGCTTTTATTCCTTACACATCAAATAAGAAAACTTGATTTTATGAGATTTTACTTATTTACATTGTAAACTTAAGTAAATGGAGTAATATAAAAATAAATAAAAGTAAAAGGACAAAGACATTTACTTAAATGTTGAAAATGGAAATAAGGTATAGAGAGAGAAAAAAAAAAAGAAGAAGTAATTTTTTGGTATTTTTTTTAATTTTTTCAGTTTTTTTTCAATTTGTTATTACAAAAATATTGGTTGCCGTTGGATTGGAGCAAAAATTATGATCGGAGAGCCCATGACACGACACATGGCACATAATTGTTGGCGGACATTGTAGCGCTGGCGTCACGACGACGTCAGTAAGGCGTCACGATGACGTCAGCACGGGCTAGCCCTGGCTGGAGCTCGGGCCAGCCAGTTTTGCTGGGTCCCACCATTGCACCCGGGCCTGCCTCCACTGCTGAAAACGAGTTTTTACCCCAAACCCCCCAGCCCTCCCCTTGGGCCCCTTGCTGGAAATGCTCTAAGAAGCAACTTTATATACATAAATTCAACTAGTTTATCCAATTATATGGCAAAGCACCATACTAACAACAAAATGCATAAACAAAGAATTTTTGAAAGCGTGGTTGGCTTGTGTTGATGGATTCTGAGTTGTGGGGTAGGTAAGTAGTGTAGGGCATGAAAGTCTTACGCTCGATTGGTGCCTATAATTGGATTGAATTATATAACTCAATATATTTAAGGTATGTTAAAAGAAGATTAAAAAAATATTGTCTGTCGGTGATAAAAGATATATTTTTTATAAAGAAAACTTATCCCATACAATCAAACAATGATACAATATCACCATTTATGATGAACTTAACTATAGAGTATGTAAAAAAAAAAAAAAAAGTCCCCTCAAATGTATATACTCCTTATTTCTAAATTTGAATCTTTATCCTTAAAGTCATCTCCACGCAAACTGGTGGAGCTAAAAAAATAATTGAAAAATGAAATTGAGACATGTGTATGTGTGTGTGGAAGAGTTAGGTCGAATGCAATTATCTCATGGCATGGATCCAAAATTCCCAATCAAACTTGAACATTACCTCATTTCCATAACCAAAATTGACCAATCTTCAACTGCACCCTTCCCACTCCCTCTTCTTTCATCTCTCCCACAAAAACTACACATTTCTCAATCATCTCTCTCTCTCTCTCTCTCTCTCTCTCTCTCTCTCTTTCTTCTCCGTGTATGTCTGAGATTGAGAAAGAGAAATGTGTCCCCTGAGACTGATTTTGATCTTCCTCTCAGCCACTCTGGCTGGCTTCTTCGTCCTCAGAAACCTCAAATCCGACGCCAAATTGGATACTCCGCACCATGAAGAACATGAGACCGACCACCACCACCAAAACCCCAACAACTCTCCTAACCGATTTTCCAAGGTTCCCAATCCATTTTCACCTTTAATTCTCATTCAAGTTTCGTTTTTGTCTTCTGGGTTTTTCTCTGTTTGAACAATTTGGCTGTTTTATGTGCTTGCAGGTTCGGTCAGCCATGGAATCAGGGTTCTGGACCATTGTGGACATGGGCAGTGGACGCTATCTCTGGAGGCATTTTGTCTCAGCGTCCCCAAAACCATCAAATTGATCTTCTTTGGGGCACTTGCTGTCGCTTATAATAACACACACGTCCAGGTTTGAGATTGACTATGGTGGCGTATCATATCATGTTGTTACTTGTTAGTAACGAAGGTTCATTTTGGTAAGAAAAGAATCCAAGATGTTGTAATTTTAGACCCAAATGTTGTATGCTCTCTGAAAATGGCGCTGTAGCTGTAATTACCATTCAGCAACAATATCCATCCCATTGTATTGTAATATTGCTATTTCCGTTATCTGGTTTTTGTATTAACTATCAAGTATTGAAGTGTGGTGTGGTTATCTTACTGTGGAAATATTTCACAAGGTCAATATCCACCTCCCCATCTCACTGTATTTATGTGCTATATAAACTAAGGCTCACAACCTTAGGCTGCTTTTATACATTATACGTTTCCTTGTTAATGTTATTTATAACAAGACCATGCTATAAGAAATTCTCCTTTGTCTTTCAACAATGCTGTCAGTGTAAACCATTTGAATGTACATTAATCGGTAAGAACAGATACTTCACTTGATGTTAATGAAAAGGCCAAGGAAGGTATATTATGAAATGCACATTTACAATGCCAAAGGTTGGGATCCACCAGTATTCACACCTATGGTTGCACGCACAAACGTAAGTATTGTTTCTATGTCTGTGGCGAGGGATTTTGTATCTGTTTCTTGGTTAAGCGTAATGGTATTGTTGTTTGCCATGGCTGCTTTGTTTCTGCGCTTCGTTTCTGGTTAATTGAGTTTGGGATTTGAAACCCAGAGAATCTCTCTCTCATATACGGCCTAGTGCTGCTGTCGTATCCTGTGAACCAAAGTGATTGTGTTGCTTATTTGTGCTGGACTTCGTAAACTTCTTCTTGGTTGTTGACATGTGTTAGGGCATCTACAAGGGAGTGTTGTGATGCCATTCATGTTAGTGCTTTGTTTCTGGCTAGTTAAGTTTGGGATTTGAAACCCAATATAGAGAATCTCTCTCATACACGCACACATGCATGTGCAGCCTATATGGCCTAATGCCACTTGCGTATCCTGTGAACCAAAGTGATTGTATTGCTTAGTTGTGCTGGACTTTATAAACTTCATCTTGGTTGTTGACATGTGTTAGGACATTTGCAAGGGACTGTTGTGATGCCATTCATGTTACTTCTGTTTGAGATGTAATTCATGTGTGGATTCTTAGTCTCTAGTAATGGTAGTTTCTTGTGCATCCTTGCTTGAAAATTTAGGCCAAGATTGTACATTTCTGGTTTTCTGATTGTAGTCTGTCCTTGTATGTGTTATCTTGTTCCATCATATGAATTGCATTGACTCTTTTATTCCATGTTAATTGCTCCGGATTAATGCTTCTCTCCTATGTGTCTATGTTGCTTTACCTCAAAATTTGTAGCTGTTGTTCCCTCAGTTGAATTTTATTTATTTTGTTGAAAATAGGAAAAATTCATGTCTTTTTCCAGTGAGCTCTTTCAATCTTCAAGTTTCCATGAGGTAGGAGCATTTGATTTGAGATCATTTGAAAGTTGAAGAGTTTCATATTCTCATAGAGTTTTGCCAATAAGTTATCACACATATCAATAGAGTCGGCTCCTTCTTTTGTAATCTCTGTTTCATCATCATTACAATCATATAATGTTGTAGTTATCTGATGTTTCTTCATTTTCATTACAAAACTGGACATCTTTCATGTGAAAGTTCCGATTCTTTTTATTTGTTTTGACAAGTTTTAGAACATGAACAACTAAGTGTACACAACAAACTTCAGGATAATTTTCAACCTACTTTAAGCTTACCGATAGAGAATGAACTTTGAATTCGTAACCACTAACATGGGGTCGTGTTTTGCTTCTTGAAGTCTAGCCACTAAATATGACGTTAGCTTGGAAATTACTATATGGTGTCTTTGGATTTGGATGAACTGGATTTCAGTTTCTGTAAATCTAAAGCATATGAACAAATTGAAAGTTGTATCCTGGCATCGTAGCAAACTCACGATGGACTTGATATTGATGTTTGTATTTACATTCCAAGAGTAGCTGAGTGCCTATGTATATGGTACTCAAGTGCTTTCTTATTTTTCTTTCCTTATAATTCTCATCTGACTGTAGTAACTCACCTGATCTTCAATACTCAAGCTCCAAACACCATAATTTGGCAATGTAATTGAAGCTTTAATGCATGTTGGGCTGCTACAACCAACATGGAATCACTCACCTGATCTTCTTTGATTGGTTGGATGTCGAGGAATCGACAATGGGACCCGTATGCATCTCCAGTTAAAAATCACTCACACGCATTTATACCTGTTATCAATTATGGACCATTCCATATTCAAATGATCCATCCACAGTTTGATCGACATCCATTAACTCCCTTCACAAATTCAAAATGATGCTTATTTGTAATGCATGATTTAAAATAGAAGTCAGGTAAATAAGATCAAGAAATATGGGGGTTCCTGTAGAATCTATCATCTGATAGAAAGAAATTCAAACCTCCTCCAAACCCAGATCAAGAAATATGGGATAAATAAGAAAACGAAAATAAAATATTATTTTACTTGACACGATCTTTTGGTGGATAAAGAAACAACCGGCCACGTGGCAAAAACATGGGTACTCTTTAAGTACCACCACAAGATCCTGACCGTAGAAAACCGAATCTGAGGCTCAGAGTTCAAACAGTGAAAATGGTAAATAAAATATAGGCAAAAAGTGATTTTGGATCCTGTGGTTTATCACTTTTACCACTAAGGTCTATGTGATTTCAATTTCGTCACTTTTGCCCCTGTGATTTCAATTAGAAGCAATATAAGGATAATTCCTAATTTCTGATACTTATTGAGGGGCATTTCGGTCCAAACTTGCAGCCCCTCCCCAACCACCCTATAGCCACCCAGCAACCCCTCCAAAAACTTATCTTTGTTGTAAACTAGCAACAAATAATACTCCATTTGAGTTTTTGTTGATAAAAATTATAACCATCCATACATAAACATCAACTAACAAAATCATAATCGAGCAGGTCTTAGGATTATACAAGGGAGATACATTTCTTTATTTTTTTCTTCTGAACCCAAAGAAAAACTCACAATTATAATCATAATCCATCTCATTTCTTCATAAGGGATGATGGTAATCTCCAGCCAAAAAAGAAAAACAAGGTAGCCAGAGCAAGTCTACTTCGATCTTTTGTAAGCTTCATAAAAGTAGCCTAGGATTACAACATCGTCATCAATTGCAGCTCTTACTGCACCTTGTGCCAGTGTCACTAGTTTTGATAGTTTCTTATTATGTAACTCAACAAAATCTCAAAAAAAATTGTTGATGAAGGTTGTATAAATAGTACATCTCTTTGTACATCTCCAAGGAGTATTGTTTGTTGCTGGTTTAGATAGTGGGATTGTCAATGTTTACAACATGGAGGAGTTTTTGGAGAGGCTAGTGGCTGTGGAGGTGGTTGGGAGGGGCTGCAAGTTTGGACTGAAATGCCCTTCAATAAGTATCACAAATTGAGAATTGTCCTTAAATTGCATCAAATTGAAACCACAGTGACAAAAGTGATGAAATTGAAACCACAAGGACCTTAATGGTAAAAGTAGTAAACCACATAGATCAAAAGTAACTTTTTCCCTAAAATATATTCCAACGGTCGAATTGGATTCACTCCTTTTTAATAGGAAACGCCTGTCTGTCTGTGTGCGAGAGAGAGAGAGAAATGAGGCAGAGAAGAAAGATTGTATCAGAAATCCCCGAAAACCTAATCGCGGAGGAGAAAGAAGCAGAAGAAGGACGATTCTTCGCATGCTATCTGTTGACCTCTCGCAGCCCCCGCTACAAAGGCCACACCTATATTGGGTACCTTCCATCTTCCCCCATTTTTATTTATTTATTATTTTATTATATATATAAATTCTCAATCTGTTCAGAATAATAAGATCAATCTTGATTTGATCATTTTCGATCTGAACTTCTTTAAAGTTTGAGACTTTCTTTTAGAGCTTGGATTAATAAGAGAGCCCACTTTAACTCCGTGTCTTTGTGTGTGTTTCTTTGGGTGATGCTGATACAGATTCACAGTGAACCCACGGCGTCGTATAAGACAGCACAATGGTGAAATAGGGCAAGGTGCTTGGAGAACGAAGCGGAAGCGTCCATGGGAGATGGTCTTGTGCATCTATGGTTTCCCAACTAACGTTTCTGCTCTCCAGGTCTCTTCATTTCTTTCTTTTTTGTCTCTTTACAATTACTTGTCTATGCATTGCTCTGTATGATCTGTCTATGTTTTTAATTTGATTGATTGGGACCAAATTAGATACAAATTTCTTGAGAATTATATTCTGATAATTATGTCATTTGAGGATATTTCCAGCTTGGTTGGGTTGGGACCCATCTTGAGTTGGCACCAATTCTAGGATCAATTTGGAACTGGTTAAAATTTGATTAATTGGGATTGAAGGTTTTTATTATTATTTTAGGATTTATATTAATTGGAAATTTGGGACCTTCTTTCTAATATTCCCTTTGGAACTTTGCAGTTTGAATGGGCATGGCAGAACCCAGCTGTATCAAAGGCAGTTAGGCAGGCTGCTGCAAGCTTTAAATCCCTGGGGGGGCTTGTCAGTAAGATCAAACTTGCATACACCATGCTCACCCTCCCTCCTTGGCAGAGGTATCATCTTATTATCTTCCTTGTGAGTTGTGAATGGGTGAATATACATATGCTTTTGCTCTTATTGATGGAAAGTGATATTGTTTGTATGTATCATCAGCTTGAACATCACTGTAAACTTCTTTTCAACCCAGTACACCAAACATTCTGCTGGTTGTCCACGCCTTCCAGAACAGATGAAGGTCAAAGTCTGCTCCATGGATGACCTTCCTTCATGTACTAAACTATCTGATGACCTTTTGATAAATGAAGATGAGTGGTGTAATGAAAGGGAATTTGATGAAGATATGAATACCAGTACACTACACGATGAAACAATATCGGACTTCATGGGTCATAATTCAGCAGATGATCAGCAGAGTGATAGTGGCAATAGAATGAATGAAGTATATGGATGCAGTAAAGAAGTAGGAGAAGATGAGTGGTATAATGGAAGAGAATGTGATGAAGCTATGAATGATGGTACATTACAGGAAGAAACATTATCAGATCTTATAGTTCAAAGTTCAGCAGATGATCAGCAGGATAATACCGGCAAGACAATTAACAAAGCACATCGAGGCAGTCAAGAAGTAGGAGGGGATTGTACAGAGCAATTTGGTTTTATCGCATCGCCAGTGAGAATGCCATCTTCAAATGTCACCACCTCATTTGGCACAGAAGTAACTAAAGATATAGGATCTGCTGATGCCATTAGTGTTAAATTGGGCCGACCTGCAATGGAACAATTGACAACTATAGTTGCAGACCATCAGTCGCCCAGCAGAAGCT